CTATCTTCTTGAGTGTCTTAAACAGGAATGTGTTGGATATTGTCGAATGCTTTTTCCACATCTATCGATATTATCATGTGATTCTTATCATTTTTTCTGCCAATGTGGCGAATAATGCTGATGGTCTTTCGTATGTTAAACCATCCCTGCATCCCTGGTGTGAATCCCACTTGGTCATGGTGAATTGTTTTTTTAATATGCTTTTGTATTCTATTATAGGCCAGTATTTTGTTAAGGATTTTCGCATCAATGTTCATTAGGGATATTGGTCTATAGTTCTCGATTCTTCTGGCATCTTTGCCCGTTTTAGGTATCAAAGTTATACCAGCTTCATAGAAAGAGTTTGGGAGTTTTTCGTCTTTTTCTGTGTTCTGGAAGAGTTTGTAAAGATTGGTGTCAGTTCTTCCTGAATGCTTGGTAGAATTCTCCTGTGAATCCATCTGGCCCAGGGGATTTTTTTTGTTGGTAATCCCTTGATTACCTTATCTATTTCTTCCATTGCTATGGATCTGTTGAGGTTCTTGACATCCATTTGGGATAGTCTAGGGAGGGATTGTTTCCATATATTTGTCCATGTTTTCCAAATTGTTGAATTCGTTAAGAGTATAGACCTTCATAGTACTGTGTAATTAACCTTTTGATTTCATTAGGGTCTGTTGTAATGTCCCCTGCTTCATCCCTCATCCTTGCAAATGTCGTTTGTTCTTTTCTTTCTTTGGTTAGGTTTGCCCTAGTCTCCGATGGATCCTCACTGTTGGTATTGGTTAGTTATGCAGATGGCTGTGGACAGACTGAAGGAACTACGCAGAGGTGTGGCCACCTGGGAGGGCGGTAGAGACCAGGCTCCCCCCACACTTCCCTGGAAGCGTGAAGGCAGCCATGACTTTCCTGGGTCTAGCCCCGAGAAGCCAGGACCTCAGGAAACAGAGCTGACCAAGATAACACAAGATAAAAACACTGCGAAACAGCAAGGCCTATTTATTGTAGTGACTCATGAGGTAGTTATGTGGGGCAAGCAAGCCATTAAAAATCCTGGGCTCGTTTCTTCGGCCCACCTGTCTGGGCCAGCTCTCTGAGAAGCAGTGCCAACAAACCCCAATGGTGCTGGGGACGGGGACCCAGGCCACTGTGAGGATCGCTGAGGCCAGGATCCCACTCTCCACAAAATGGCTCAGCAGATTCCACACGTGGTAAGAGAACTTTATTTTAATAAAAGTGTCCTCCGTAGCAGGCCCCTTCCCACACCAGGAGAAAGGTGCATTGGCCCTCTTTTACTTAGACACCCTCTTCTTGGGCAGCTCCAGCCGCTTCCACCGCCGGACCACCACCCTATGCTTCTCACCAGCTGTCTTCTCTTCGAAGACCTTTTTCAGGAGAATGCGCATCACTGTTTCTTTCTCTCCTTCTTTATCTTCCCCAATGAGGAGATCCAAAGTGTCTCCCACTTTCACCTGAACACAGATAGAGAAAACACAAAAACTGAGTCTTCATTGCACACTGGGGAATCCAGGCCTGGGCAAACAGCCCAGCGTGGTTACCAGGTGATCTGCCATTGGCCAAAGGAGGCGCGGGTGAGAGAGGGCCTGGGTCCTCTGATGACCTACAATCATCTGTCCCGACTCCCCAGGTCAAAAGGCATCGCATGAAGGGGCCTCAAACGCTTGCAGCAGTAGCAGTAAGACAACTGGCTGCTTGTCGGGGGCTGGTCCCTGTGGGTGTGGCTCTCTCACCTCCGTGGGATGATTTATGGTTGGGGAAATCTATTTTGGTCACACTAGCAATAGAATAGGAGCTCTGGGGGTGGCGCAACAGTTAAGCACTCAGCTGCTGATATAAAAGCTGGCAGCTGGAACCCACCCAGAGGGATCTGGGAAGGAAAAGCTGGCCGACCGTCTGCTCCCTGCGGGTCACAGCTAGGAGAAGCTCAGGGCGACAGTACCACTCTTGGAGCTGTTGTGACGTAGAGCTGACCTGACAACAAGGGTGATCAACTAGCTACAGACTCCGAGAAGGCAACTCCTGGTGGTAACGTCCACGGATTTCAATCTGGATGAGCTACTTATCTCTTGGGGCAGCTGGTTGGCAGTTAGTCCCCATGGACCAATGGGCAGCTGTGCCTTTTGGATGAATGGCCGTGAACCTCCTCCCCTCACTGATGGCACCAAATGAAGAAAGGCAGAACCAGCTCACAAAGGGGAATGCCACGTGACGGACGGAAAGTGACTCTCAGGGCAAAAGGGCTGCAGGGCCATTTTAGCCTACCCTCGTAGTGCTGGGTGGAGCCAGGAGGGCAGGGCATTCTCTGGGGCAGCCGCGTTGGCACGATGGCCCAAGGACTCGGGGCAATGCTGCCTGAGTATGGACAGCCCATGACAGGAGCCCAGTCCCAGCAGCTCAGGACCCCGGAGGGATCAGCTCAGTGACTCCAGGGGCAAACCAATCCCAAGTGCCACATGCTTCCTTCCTAAGACGTAAGCCAGGGGTGCCTGCAGCCTTCTCCGACCCCTTCCCACTGCTTGAATGGGAGGATGACCCAGTGGGCCATGGACTTGTTGTGCACATACCCACTGAACAGCCATCTGGAGGGCTTGCTGCAGGAGCTTGGTGCCAGATGCTGACTTTTACCGCATTTTCTGATTCCTGGTCTCGTTATTAACTAGACCTCGTCAGAGTAACTAGTAGCCTCAGCCCTGTGAGCCTTTATCTGCTCCCACTCAGGGCCCCTGCAGCCGGCCAAATGCTCAGTCTACCCCTGGGCCCACACCTGCCCTGCACCCACACTCCGTTCCCAGCTGCGGGCCATTTGAAACCATTGTCTTCTCCCTTCTGGTTCAGGGGCAGAAAGGCCTACCCACCACTAGCTAGGCGTCCAGACAGCTTCTCCCCCTGGGTTTGCGGGAAGGGCTGACCCCAGGCATGGGGGCAAGGAAGGGCCTTGTCCTCCTGTGGTTCTGGGCTCAAATTTTTAAAGAAATTGCTACCTCAGCCCAACCAGTTGATGTGTTGTCACTGTCCAGAATATATAAGGCTTGAATTCACTGTTGACAGGAAATACAAACTCATGTAAAGTACATGCAAAGAAAAGTCTACTGCTGGATGTCCTGTCGAGATGCACTGTGCATGCTGTCTGCCTATGTATGAGGGAGCGCAGCTTCGTGTGCACCCAAGAGGGGCTGACAAGGAACAGAGGGCAGGGCGCTGCAGTACCCCATTGCCCACTCCAGGGAAAGGTTGAGTCGGGCAGGTTCAGTCCTCTCCACTTCGGGCTCCACACCCCACTAATTCACTGGGCAGTGGGAACAGGCAAAGAAAGGGGAAGGGCTCTCTACTCCCCTCCAAGGTCCTGTTCCTTCTTGTGTGGAAGACTGGGTGGCTATTCCCAATATCTACATCTCAATCTCCCCTTAGCTGCGGTTACTATGGCTACTGAGCCTCGGAGTAACAAGGCAGCATCCTATGCTGCCCCTCAGGAGAAGTGGGGGAGGGAGCCGAGACAAGACCCAAGGCAGAAGCAGTGGCAGTGAATGGTATCTCAAAGCAGGGAGCTGGGGCTTAGGCCTGTGGGGCTTGTAAGCGAGGATGGAGCCAGAGGCAGCAAGGCCAGGGCCATCATCCCGGAGCCCAGTAACACTGCCGGGGTCTGAGGAGAAGAGGGCTGGGCTCAATTCAGGGAGAGGCAATCAGGACTAGCAGGACTGGTATCAGGGGATGTCGGGAGCCCTGCCGGTGTGCCGGTCACTGAATAATGACTGGCAGGCCTGGGCCTGTAAGTGCTGTCAGGGGAAAGGAGCTGTGGACGCCTGTGGTTTGGAGGTTTGTGTCTTGTTAGTTTTACCCACTATTATTGTGTTTTCTGATTAAAAAGTGATACATACTTGTACAAAATGAAGACAATAAAAAAGAGGAAATCAATAGAGTCCTCAATACTATAGAAACTCAAACTAAACTCACTGTAATCAAGCCAACTTTGACTGGCAGTGACCGGGATAATGCAGACCAGAACTGCCCCTGGGGTCTCTGAGACTATGCATCCAGGGGTCTCATAATACCACACTCACTGTCAGGTACGAGTGATACCGACAGTCTGCAAAATCTGGACATGTATATATGTAATTTGTGTTTACAAAAACAGGTTAACAGGATTTGTGTGTGTACACTTAAACACATACATGATTCGCTGTTCAAACCTGGATTCTATAAGGACACTCACTTTCTTGTTAACTGACTTCTTTTCCTAGGCAATGGTGTTGGCATGGACCTGCCCCCAAATGGGCCGCCATCTGTAAGGGTGCGCTCCCACTGGCTCTGTGCGGTGGACACAGCAGCGATCCGCTGCTGCACAGAACCACCCCCTGCTCCCACTGGAGCACCACAAGGAACGCCTCTATAGCTTTAATCTCTCACCGTTCTGCTTTTTTTCCACAATTTTTCTCCATTCAGCCGGAGTTCACCTTTGTAGAAGGCTTCTTCCACTCTGCTATTAGAAGAGGAAAAAAAGGTATGTATGTATAGTCACATACCATGATGTATAGTCACAACCATGGTACACATCTGAGCACCCTGGCTCTGAACCATCAGTCTGACTGTGAGCACCGTGCCCCACAAGCTCTCCGCCAGGGCTGGAGCAGGGCCATCAGCTGCCCTGCACAAATCTAAGGTGGGGAGGGGGCTACAGGACTTTCTTAAGAGGCGCTGAACAGATGTGCACACACCACAATCAGCATCCCGGTGGGGTCTTCACAGAAAGACGAGACCCCAGCAGAAGTATCCAGCTATTCTCAAGCCAAGAGCTGAGGGACCCCACTCTACCTGACTGCCTGTGAAGTAACTCCTGCCCAGGCTGGGGCCTCATGATTCACAGTGGTCAATGGGAGCAGGCACCCCTGGTACTCTGAGAGGCCAAGGCCCTGCACATCTGTCCGGGCACTGGGGAAATCCAAACAGTTAAATCATGGGGGCAACCAGACCAAGCAAGGAGGCATCCCGAAGGCTGGCCCTCTTTGGTGACTGACAAGTGGAGCTCTGCTCAGTAAAGCAATAATTCCCACTCTGGAGATGACGGGGAGAGGCCCCCTCGTGGGTTTTCCAGAAAAGGGATCCAGATCAGGGTGCTGAGCAGCGTGAGGGCGGGCCAAGTGTCATTTTTACAAGTCTCAGCTACCTTGCGTGCAGTATACACATACAGTCAATGAGTGCTAGAGGCGGGGATTAGCAGTGCGGGCCACTACTACCTAATCCACCGAGCAATCTTGAAAGTTACTTCGAGGCATTATATATGAACACACAGATTCATGTGATTTTTTTTCTCTCCATAAAATCTAATAGATGAAGTGCCCACTATGTGCTTGGTACCGCTACATGTGTTTTAGATCCTTACAACTATCTTCTCAAGTAGACTCTATTAACCCCATCTTACAGATTAGAAAACTGAGACACAGGGAGATTAAGTAATTTGCTTCAAGTTACACAGTGGCAACATTTGATTGCTAGCAGTCTGGCTTCAAAGCCGGCACCTTCACTAACACCTTATGCTGCTTGCTTGGATTCTCAGAAGTACCTTCTGCCCCGGCAGCATTTCTGAAATCCGGGTGCGTCTGATGCTTGCTGTACTGATTAATGTGATTCCTTCTGTCCTCAAGAAGCTGCTAGTAAGTCAGCGACTCACCAGTCAACTGTTTCTTAGACTTAACGTGGGGTTTGTAGGGCATCCCTTGACTTCTTCGGAAGTCGTTTTCTCATCTACATCATGGAATCACTGAAATGGGTTACCGGTAAGGGGCTTTCCTAGCTATGTTACTCTTCACCACAACATGGGCCAAGTGATTGTTTATATGCCACTTTCAAATAAGCTGCAAAACTAAACACCACGAAGTCTTTTTAAAGCCAAACACTACCTTAGCTTAACTTAACTGGTGAAAGAAAAGTCTTCCTCCAACATGCTCTTTTAAGATCTATCTATGTGGGTCACGGGGAAGAGATGAACCAGTCAGGATGCAGCATAGCACCGATAACACACAATTTTCCTCTAGTTCTTTGGTGCTTCCTTCACCCCACTATCATGACCTCAATTGTACCTTACAAATTGGATTGGACCAGAGCATGCACACTGCTACAAATAAGAGCCCACAGCACAGGGAATCCAGGATAGATAAACCCCTCAGGGCCAACAAGGAGAGTCAAGATACCAGGAGGATTAGGAGGGTGGAGGGAGAAAGGGAGACTCGGTCACAAGAATCAATCTAGAACCCCCTCCCAGGGGGTCAAATAATGAAAAACTGGGTGAGGGGCAATGGAGGATGATGTAATATATGGAAATAACAATCTATAACGTATCAGGGATTTGTGAGGGAGTTTGGTGGGGGATGAGAAAGGGGTAAGCTGACATCGGGCTCAAGTGGGAAGAGAATACTTTGAAAATGATGATGGCAGCATATGTGCTTGACACACTGGATGAATGTATGGATTGTGATACGAGATGTAAGAGCCCCCAATAAAAGTATTTTAATTTTTAAATTAAACAAAAAAAGATCAAAATATCACTTTCAGAAGTGTAGACCTAGATGAAGGATATGTTGAGAAATAATAGCTTCACATTTTGATATGTTTTAATAAAGCATTTTTGAAGCAAAAAAAAAAAAAAGATCTATACGGGATCAAGTTGACCATAGTACGTGGAAAGATTAGATGGGAGCCAGTGAATGTACGTTCATGGGGAAGGAACCACTCAGGAAAGGAGGGCAAGGATCCTCAATGCCACTGAGCTGCACCTGGAGGAACTGCTGAACTGGGCTCATCAGTGTGCTGTGCATATCCTCCACAACAAATGATCCCCCACAAAAAACCCAAACAAGGAAAACACAGTCTACTCACTTTCTTCCGACATCCAAGCCGGTCTTCAGGATAGCATCGTACCGGAGAGACTGCACGACTTTCTCCAGGTCTCTGTAGTCTCTGACCACGCCGGGCTCGCCCTCCAGCTCATCCTCCTGCTCACTCAGCTCGCCGTGCTCTCTCTCCTCCTCAGAATCTTCGTCCTCCACTGTCTTTTCGGTGGAGTTTTTGGAGCTTATGTTACTTTTGAGTCTTGTGGTAAATGGAACAATATAATCTGGAGACACTGAAAGCTCTGGGAGTCTTCGTGAGAAAACATTATGGAAAAGTCTCTGATAGTTTGATGCATTTAACTTGGTACTACAAAGATGTGCATGCCGATTCCAGGAAGCGCAGAGTCTGTATGAAGAAGGTGTCCCCTGGAGCGCCCCCCAGAGTCCAATCCAGGCACCCGGCTTCCTTAAAACAGTGGCAGGCCATCTGATGCTGGCCAGAGCCATGGCTCAGACAACCTGAAACAGACAGTAATTCAGGCTTACTGCACAAGGACAGATGTGTGGCATTTCTACATCACCTCCACACAGGGACCACTCTTCATCTAGTTTTGCAAATTATGCTCTCCTAGAAAACATAGAAAATTCTTTCTCTCAGAAGTTTTATATGGTAAGCTGTATATTCCCGAACGCCAACAGTGGTCATCATAGATGGATCATCATATGGATGTTTTTCAGTCATTGTACCTTTAGAAAAATTTTTTTCAGGTTTTCCAAAATGAACAGGTATACAATCAGAAAAAAACTGTAAAAAGGATCTATGCAACTCTTTTTGGTGGTGAGGCCATACAGATTCACTCTGACATTTCAGAGCAGTTCTGCTCGGTCTTGCGGGAGCGCTATGAGTCAGGCTGGGCTGGATGGCAGTGAGTTCTTGGGGAGAAGCCCCACAGACCACAGGCTCGGGGCCCTGGCCCCTGCATCTTCCGGCTGTAAGTAGTCTGCTCCCCTCGGGGGTGGTGATCGGGTCAATGAGTGACTGTGGGCAAAAGAACTGGCTCTGCTCTTCCCCCTTCCTTCCCACGAGCTCCCAGTACTGACTGCCAGACTGTGACTTCACAGAGCCCAGAAGAGTTCAACGTGATTTCAACCTCCAGCCCCAGCAAATCAGAGCTAGCAATGGAAAAATCAGAGTGCTAAGGAAGACAGACAGATGTCTTCCCACTGTTAAATGGTGGCATTAATTAGCGGAGAAGGAAGGGGCCTGGAGACCCACTAAGTGGGCACCAGCAGGCTGAGGGTACACAGAGCAATCACTGTCTACAGTGACCTCAACCACAGCAGAAACCAGCTTCTTATGATGGTGGCCAACTCGCCCAAGTTCACCAGGAAGGCTCTGGGGACCCCGATGTGGTCAAGCAAGAAGGGTTTCCATAGGGCCAACACCCTCTTGCTTGGAGAGCTTGCGAATGACTTTCCTTTGGAGCCAAGGACCTTTTTCTTTGACAGCAGAGCCCACGAGTTTTTCTCCCTACTTATGTAGGGCTCACTGGGAAGCACAGGTAAATATGTTCATCACCTTGTTGAACCTGATTTTTGCACAAAGCAGACAACACAAGCACAAATGGTGCCCCAATCTATGCCTCAGCCTGAAATGAGCAGGCTCAATATAAGGGCTATTTGTCAACACAACTATATAATTTGGAATAAATTTTAAAAGCCACAAAAGCCCAAGTACTCTAAGTTACTCATTAGAAATTACTTAAAACACCTTCAAGAGAAATACTGCAAGAAATTCTTTTCACACATATTCTGTCTAGTGTAAAAGACAAAATGGCATTCTTCAAACTACAGAGGACAGCATTGAAGATTGAGCCTGGCAAGGGGAGAGAGAGAGAGAGAAAGAGAAAGCATCCTGGCCCACCAAGCTTTCAGAAAGACATCTGTGCTTGGCGCAATCAATGCAGAAAGGACTGCAGGGTCGGCCTAAGCATGAGACAGGACACCCCTTGCTGATCCACAGCACCACAGGGGGCAGCACTGAAGACAGTGTGA